AGCGTGAAGGATGCTATCATACAACTATGAATGAGTCACTTCTAGCTCATTAAATCAAAACATCCTGAATGTTCAGCCTCTCACGGCTTCGTATAGTACATATACAGCACACAAAAATATAAATATATTCCCAGAATTCATAATGCTTCTGGAGACGTATATATTAAAGCCAATATCTCCTGCCTACTTTTATTGGAGCCAGTTTCATAAAATTATGGTACTCATCTTCTGATGCTCGAGTAATAAGGCTATACTTAGCCACCTCTATAAATAGTAAAAGAGTTAAGTGCACGTCCCTGATGAATAAAGTCCTTAACAGTGCAGATGTAGGCCATGAGACGCAATATAACTCTCAATATTTGCCTTACCAAAACTCTAACGTCTCCATTCCTTGTTTCAAATTCAGCTTTATATTCTGTAGCCTCTTATGAAGTCACAGGGTAAGTCATGCCCAGTCGTTTATTTAGCGTAAGGTTCACTGCTATAAAGGTTGCCTCATCACTGACCTACTCCCAATAAGTTTTCCTAGCTGAGAAACGTGTAGAGTGTCTGTCTCCTTACATACTAGCAAGAATGGTTTTTTGACGCAATCCGCCGAGGCCTAGCGTATATCCACTTGACCTAAGGACAGATACTTCTCTATGGGAGACCAAGAGCCTCAAGTGTGATTAATTATCAACAGGTGTGCAGCAATCTTGGTCATAGTTATCAAAATAAAAACCTTATATACTGCTAGTACTGTTACAACAAATATTGAGGATTGCTTTTTCTGCCACTAGGGTCGCAGACGATAGTTCGGGCTGAATGGCGATCGGAGTAGTTTAGATTGAGTAACTGTCATTACCGCATATCTTGAAGATAAAATAAATAATCAAATAATTTATATTTCGGTAACATTTGCATTTATTGTTACTTAATGTACCATTTAATGGAGTCCGAATTCGAGTACTTTTAGGGTTCTCAATTAATACAAAATTATGAAGGAAATCGTCCCAACTTTTGTTAACAAAGCTTCTTACCAAAGTATTTGGCGTATATCACTTTCAAATCTTTCAACGAAGCACATTCAAGTGCTGGTTTATTTGTCAAATGTGAAATATTTAGCTTGAAGGAACAGCATTTCAGCTTCAACTGGAATGATTTTTGTATTTGTCATTTCGCAAAGTTCAAAACCTGATTCTTGCCCAAAAAAATATTGTTAGTTAATCTGAAGGGAGCCCTCCCATAAAAGTTTGATGAATCTGATTTTCCACTTATTATTTGGCGATTCAAAGTCAAAGTCACCATTAGTGTAAATATCATCTGCAATGCAGACGAATCTTGGTTTTTATGTGAAGGGAAGTTAAATTTCAAGGAACCTCCTGTTTCATAGTTGTCGAGCTCACTTTAATTTCAAGTAAAAGTGCTCGGTGCAGGGATTCGAAGCTCAATCCCACCAAGAGACGAGGGTGGATTACTCTTGACCAAATGTCGAATAGTCAACAAGAATGTTTTATCGAAGATATGAAGACCAAAATTGTGTGGCTTTGGTATTATCGCAGTCTCCCTTCGATTTATAGAAGTAGGTTGACCTCGTTGTTGCAAGTTTGTCTTGTTATCAGGGCGACTTAGTTGAACGCACCTTGTTTGAAGTCGTCAGCATCAGAAGGTGGACTTGGCGCATTTTCAGACATTTCGCCGGCATCATAGTCGGCATCATCAGTGAGTCTTGCCATTTCCAGCAACAAGCTATAAACTTGTCAAAGAGACAAGTGAAGTCAATCCATCGACTAACGTTCTGCCGAAAACGGCTACACTATCACTCCTCTTTTTGTCCTGGCCCATCTATCCACTCCTTACCCTCTTATTCAACTATCGCCCTATCCCACATAACTTGTTTACATTCTACTCGTCAAAATGTGTGCTCTTTTGTGGCAAATCTAGTGTGGCCTCATCACACCTGATATTCCCCATGACCCTCTCTCCTTTGATCAGCCAATCCTACTCGGGCCTCCTATTCGGGTCTACCTCATGGTTACGTAGATCTGTTCCTTATCTTTCTGGTTGACCGATTTCACTCGGTTCCAGTACCCCTGTGCGTTTTACTCCAGGCGCTATTTCTCAAGGCCCTAGAAACACGTACACTGCCGCCTCACCGAGCAGAGCGCTCAGGCTCTGACTCCCAGTGACAAGGTGTGTTCTACTAAGTCGCCCTGGCAACAAGACCAAGTTGTGACAACGAGGTCAACCCACTATTATAAATCAGATTGATGAAAAAATTAAATTCACGATGGAAGTAGAGGAAGGTGAGCGGTTACCTTTTCTAGATTTTGAAGTGATTCGCTCTAATGGAACGCTCAAGAAGAAATTGTTCAGAATGAAATCTTATACCGGGATAAAACTCAATTTCCAGTCCCATCACAACTACATCCACAAAAGTGGATATGCCTAACTTCCTGCAAGCGAACTCAAAAACTATAGCTAATACTAAGGAAATGGACTATTGGGGTGGCCATGAGGGAAAAAACAACAATTTTCACAAGTCTACCGACGCGACAAATTGGGTTGTCCAGGAGTATACTGTATAGCATGCGAAGACTACAAACAGAAATATATTGGAGAAAAATTAGCATACGAATCAAGGAACATCAAAGGATCTGCAGGAAAGACCAGAATTAGCGGAACACATCGCACAGATTGGGCACGAGATCAATTGGAAAGCAACTGAAAGAAGGGCCTCATACGGTGAAAACACAAGGAAGCGGAAGATTGGAGGCTATTAACATACTTAAGGAAAAAATATAATGAATAGGAGATTTGAGGAAGGCAGAGTTTACGATAACTTTGCCTACTGATTAAGCAAACTCGGGAAAAACGAGAATAGAGCAAGACCAGCAAAAATGAGACACCTGGATCAAGGACATCTCATTAAATAGAGATAAAGGGATCGCCGGAAGGTGTGGGAATTTTTGGAAATCAAGTGAAGGCGTTCTCAGTGAATGAAGTCTGTTCGAAGAAACCAGTGCAACTTTGGGGCACCAGGCAAACAGTGACAGAAATTCGGCATTATGGCTAAAATGTACTAAAAATCCACTCGAAAGGTAGCAGGTGACCAGCGATAGGCGTCCACAGTTTGCTCAGGTAACACGGGTCTGATCAAGGAGACGACCCATGAAGGCAATGCCTGATATCTGAAAATATATGAATCAGAGCCTAGGCGTGCTGCCCGGTGAGGCGGCAATGTACGTGCTTCCAGGGCCTTGAAAAATAGCGCCTGGAGTAAAACACACATTGGGACTGGAACCGAATGAAATCGGTCAACCAGAAAGATAAGAAACGGATCTAGTGAACCATGAGGGAGATCTGGATTGGAGGCCCGAATCGGGTTAGCCGGTGTGATGAGGCCACACTAGAGTTGCCAAAAAGGGGCACACATTTTGACGAGTGGAATGTAAACAAGTCAGGTGTGATAGGGCGAGAGTTGAATGAGAGGGTTAGGAGTTGATAGATG